GCAAATGTGACAAACTTCCATCCGGAAATATCAATAATAAAACATGTAAAACAAAACAGTTACCAACCTACTTATTTATATTGAATTCATACCTACATCGCTACGGAGACAAATCGCTAGTACTTGGATTTCGGCGCTGGCGATACTGTTGGTATAATTTCAATTTAGTAGGTAATATTAATAGTAATATTTAAGTMAACGGACTATAATGACACTATAATTGAAATTTTCGACGACGTTAAATCGCGTCGAAAGCGTGGGTAAGCGTAAAACGGAAAACTATACGTTTGATAACCAACAGCGAGATACACACGTCTGATCTCTACCACCATTTACCTAGGTATACCGGAATAACAATATTATTTATTAAAATAAAATAAAATTTTACGGTCCGTCAGTCGGTAGCTACGCCAACTGTGGTCCGGTTGCGACTGTTTCTGAATAATGAGTAGTGAACTAGTGACTTCTCGGCGCTGCCGCACGTTTCTTACCCGAACGACAGCCGCGAGTGCGCGTATAGGCAGGTAGGTACGCGTACAACACAATAACAATAATAATAATAATAATATTATGAAGGCGTTGATGATAATAAATTATAATATTATAAAGATGATAGTGACTATAATACGTCATTCGTGTTATTATTATTATAATATTCCGGAAACACGATTGTCCGCTACAGGCGTATCGTTTTAAAGGGGAAAGGGAATTGTGTATAGTTGAAGTCTGAAAACTAGTTTTCCCCACCAATATGAATTTTCACGACGCAATGTCCAAACGGCTGTATAATTATAGTTGTTATAGCACGCGGATCACTGTAAAAAAATAGTTTTAATAAATTAAACTATACCCTAACATCATAACATSATATAATTTGTACTTAATATACAGAGTGAATCTTTTATTAGTAAACACTAATTTTCTCGAAAACTTTTAAAGTTTTTTAGAGTATATTATTTTGTTTTTCCAAAATCACGTTTAGTCTTTTTTTTAAATATATAATATATGTTGTACACATTTTTAAGTTATTCACTTAATTTTCTAAGCATCATTAAAAGTAATTAAAAGCAATAAGTATTGTATAGATTTTTAATTTCATATAATATGTAGTACACTAGTACTACGAATATTATATAATATTAATATAAATAATATGATATAATAATATGATATAATAATATAATAATATATTATATAATTACCTAGTTATAACTTATAAGTACTTAAAATTTTAAGTTTAAACGAGCGAAGTGGAATGATCAGGAACTCGGGAGTACTTCGCCAAATGTTCATTACTCCATTCGTCATGGGATAAGCAATTACTCGTTAAAAATTTTATTTTATTTTTTACTTTTCGAGAGAAATARGTGTTTACCTTTAACAGAATCACCTTGATCAAGGCCGTGATACTATTAATATCATATTMACGTCACGTGTCCGATGAACAAATTCCTTATTCTACGATTGACTTCTTTGGTAGGTTCCTACTAGGTATACTTACACCGTAACACAGTTACACCAATACAGTATTATGTTATACTAGTATGTTGTTCTGTGATAACTTAGTAACGGTACCTTTACTGACTAGGAACTCTCATTGAAATATGTGTTGTTCAGTATATTTTGGAGCGTTTTATCCAATTTCGGGCCGAAGACTGCATATTGCATAATTAGYCATATATAACATGTCATTTTTATCACTTGAATGGCTATATTATAAGTTATATAACATTATTATAACTCAAAATATGCAGCCTAAAGCTATGATTATATTATACGATGTGGGAAGAGCTATAAGTGCTATTTAGCYGTGTCTATGATTTTGTTGTTGTTRTTGTATGATTATTTTATACTGTTTATAGAGTATAGAACAGTAAAACAAAGTAAACATTATTATTACATACTATACAGTATACCTAGGTGGCTATGTATTATATTTGTATTGGGAAATGAAACGATTGTAAACTTTAATAAACAATATAATATTAATAAGAAATGATACGCATCGACCATTTTGAGCACAAAACGAGAAGTCTATAGAATGAGTCACGGCGGTAAATCCAAACAGTGACTCAGGTTTATTTGATTAGTTTTTTTTTATGGTATTATAAAGTTTTAATCGCACGAACTATGCATTTTTTTCAATCTAGGATCTAGATCAACGGTCTTCRACCTTTTTAGGCGGCGGGTCACCTGTTATTCTTAAAAACTCGCACATTTGTAAAAATAACATGCATAAAATACCTATTTGAAAATAGACTGGTATCGGGTAATTGGCAGATGAATATGTAAAGAAGTTTTTTTCCACAAAACATCATTTTGTAATTTAATAGTTCAGTGTTGTTAAGTAGCGATCCTTAACCAGTGCCTCACAGTGGACCATGGAATACTTAATAAAAATGTTTAATTTACTTATAACTTTACTGTTAATAGTTAGCAAAGGAATTTGCTTTGAAATGTTAAGAATTAATGAAATCTTCAAGACTTGAAGTAGTGTGGTAYTTATGACTGAACAGACTGAGTACACGCAAATAACTATAATTTAATAGATTTGAAGCTGTTAAAATATTTTTCAATACTTACAAACGATTGTCCAGATTAAAATATTCAATAAGGAAATTTAAAAATGTATATAACAAAATCAATATTATTAAGCTGTTTTGCCAACTAACACAAGATTAACTTAATGATTTCTTAATGGCATTTACCCGTTTGTTGTACAAACAAAAGTTTTTTTCATTTGAAACCTTGTAGGTAATATAACTATAAATAAGAAACATTTTCATCGATTTTCATAAAAGGAATATGAATTAAAAAGTATATGGGAATAACATAAATTATTTTTTTTTATATAAAAACATAAAAATTTAACAATTAATTATGAAAATAATTATTATAAATATATTCCAGTAAGAATAACAATGGTTTAAACCACGGCTTTAGATAATACTTATGCATTTTATCCAAAGCTGTGGTTTAAGTAAAGCATTTTAGTATTTGTTAAACTATACATATTACATACAAACTCTTATCACACAATAATAATATAATATGTTAACAAAAAATTATGTATAAAGTATTGATGAAATAAAATTAATAATAATAAAAACTTAAGATTTATATTATTGTCAATTAATTCAATTTATAGAGAGTTGATTCAAAGTTAATACCACACAATATGTTCACCAATGACCAAACGTATGGACCAAAAAATTCTTCAGGCTTCTCTTCTTCTACATATTTAAATTTAAGATCTGGGAATTTCTGTAAAAATATGCAATTAATGATAAATATTGTTTTTTTTTTTTTTAGAAAACTTAAGCTAACTATAACTAAAAACATTTTGCAATTTTACCTTCATAAGGTCTCTAGGCCATTGAAGGGACCAATGTTGCACTCGGGATAGCATTGTATTTACATCAGATGAATTCAATAATTCTTCTTCACGCTCGAGTTTTGCTGAAAAGAATGTTATTACCATATCTATGTTCTGGATTACGTCATGGAATGCTTCATGGCTCTTTAGCGGCTCAAACACCTTACGTTGGTAAAGTAGAGCATACACTAAATTAGGATTGTGTATTAGCTGATTGGATAGACACGAATTTATCACTTCCAATACTATACGCAATGCTTCATCAATGGCACTCATCTACAACATAGGTCATGTGAATTTCATATAATGAAATCTAGTAAGTCTACATAAGCCAAATTTAAAGGTTCATGGTATTTAAAAACTAAACTAACATCTTGGTTTGGGCATCTTAAAAATGTTTTTGAAAGCACTTCATATAGGCTCAACATTCTTTGACAAACATATGGATGCAGCTGATTGAATTGCGATGACATGTTTGCTAATGCCGCAAAACAATTAATGTGTAAGTATTTATCCTGAAAAGAATGTGAATGAACAAAATGAGTAAGAGGAAAGAAAACATTTTTGGATTATGACAAGAACATAATTGCTTACTCTCATTTTCAGTAAATTGTATTGTGCTGTCCTCGTAGTGACCAAAATTATAAGACCTCCTAGAGAGATTTCTGATAACACTCTTTCTTGATACCAAGTAGCACCTTTCAGTATAATACTATGGACGGTTTTATTGAAGAGTTGATCTTCTGTCAGTATTAAGAGTACAATAAGTGCCATGTACATATGTTGAAATCTACTGCTCTGTGTATTGTAAATTGTTCTTAAAAGTGGAATCAGCTAAAGTAAATAAGTAATTTATATAGAATTTTTCTGCATAAAATACAAGTGAAAATAAATATTTCATACCACTACTTCAATATCAGTGCGAGCCAGAAGAAATGATTTAAAGCTGGAGTTACAGTGTATTAGATGATACAATAATAAAGTCTTTTCTTCACTTAATGGAGCATCTGGATTCTCACCTAAAAATTGGTAAATTACCACAAGATTATCTGTAACAAACAATACGTTTAACAACAATTTTAAGAATTATTTAGTCATAATTTAATTATTGTTATTATTTTTGAAACAATCGTTACCAGATAGCGAAGCAATGCAGGTACGATATGGGTTTCCCTTTGGAGGCGGCGGTGATGTACAGTGATTAATCAATATCAACAACACACTAATTGACAATGAACTTAATGGACTCTGATTGGTTTGGACAGGAACATTAGTACTGAGTGTCAGTATATTCCATAAGTTTGCTTCAATAATTTACAAAAAATTAGTACTTAAAAAAAAAAAAGTAATTATATTCTCACAAGCTATTCCATAGAAAATTCCACCTCCTGACATAATGGGTGGCTTGATCTGTTCTGTATACCTTTGTAATAATGCTTTTGACAATTTTGGTGCATCAATATTTTCCATGAATATTCTTAAAAAAAATTATGATTCAAGTCAGGTAAGAATTTTCAAAATTAATTTAATGATAACTTACCTGTATATGATAAGACTACTAGATGGTTGAATGGTATACATTTGAATAGACAAAACAATTATAATACAATTTAAACTCTCTAAATGAATTGAATAGGTAGAATCCCTATGAAAAATAAAAATATTGTGTAAAATGTATATTAATGAAATACCTGATTACAACWACGTAACAAGTATACTCATTACTTACGTTACTTTTAATTCAGAAACAATTTTAACTAAAAGTGCTAAAAACTTGAATGATGTTGTTTCATTTAAATCTTCTGGAACAGCGTACTCCTTACGATCACCTAATGCTACTTCAATTCCATCTAAAACATAAGAAGAAAATAAATCTTTAAATGTGTTGTGCCTTGTGCATTTAAAAAATATAAACAACATTAATTTAACAATTTTATTGTAAACTTCATACATTGGAAATTTAAGAAACAGCAGAATGGCTGTAGATGTTTAATGGCACCAATGTTGGGCAAAATAAATTCTATGATTAAAGATAATTTAACTTCATAATAAATACATTTACCAATTGAATATGTAAAC